ATGGGTCGACGTTCAGTTCTATATCCAGCATCTCTGGGCGCAACCCAAAATCAGCCGCTCCCCGACCTCGCACCGGTGGATATAATCCCGGGAATGCGCTCCGCCCCAACATCACACCGGGGGCGGGAGCGGGACTGGGGACCTCCCGGGCCGACGGGGAAACCGGAGCCTCCCGCTCCTTGCCCAGCACAGGGAGTGGGAAGCTCCGGTCTCCCCGTCGGGCTGGGGGGGCCCTCCCGCTCACTGGGTACCTGCCCCACCCATCCCAGCTCGCCCCTCAGCAGATGGGCGGGGTAATAACAACACTGTCACCAACAACAGGCAGAAATACGCTTATCCTGACTGCGGTTAGCTGTTGTGCCTGCTTCACCATAAACTGCAGCATCTGGCCACTGCTGCTGCAGATTAAATGGGCTCTAGGTAATCTACTTAGACTCCTGCAGCTGAAAATGCTTCCAATATAGTCAAAATCCCCTGAACACAGCATATCTCATCGCACCCTCTGGTCACTTCACTCAACTTGGTATTTCACCCGATTATCATGTGTTTACACATTCAACAGCAGCACCCAAGCTCACAGGCTTGGGGAGACTTTTGCCTCATGCAGGCATCAATGCACTTGTACTCAAGTCATCTGCTTAACTGCTGACTCTTCAAACAGGAGGTGAACATTTCCCTCGATGAGACATTTCATAGAATCATAGAATGGTTTGGGTTGGAAGGGACCTCAAAGATCATTTAGTTCCAACCCCTCCATTGTGAGCAGGGACATCTTCCACTAAATCAGGTTGCTCAAAGCCCCATCCAGCCTGGCCTCAAACATTTCCAGGAACGGGGCATCTACAATTTGCTCTGCATTTGACAGTGCACTAGTGTGAGAAAATGAGGAAGAATTTGACATTTGGTGATTTTTGCACCATCCTGACTTACACTCCCTATTTTGTAGAACACTTGCAAGTTTAAGGTCAGCCTATACATGTCAACAGCAGTATTTTCCCCATATCGTGCACAGGGAGAACATCCTGCATGTAGCATGAGCTCCCATTGTGCCTTGCACAGCTCTCACATTAGTGTTTCCAGCTCCCAGGAGGTCCTGCCCCTTCCAGAGGACTGCAGCTCAAGGACTGTACAGTCTCCAACCCAGGTCACTTGTCTTTCATCTTTCATCACCTGCTTTGGGCAGTAGCATCACTGAGCAGAATACTCAGGTACATGCTGGAGACAACTTTCATCTGCTGCAAGGGCTTCTACACACCAAAAGACTAGGTGCAGCCACACAAGCAGAGTACTTTTTGCACTAGCTTCTAGTGCATACAGGTTGACATTCAGTCTCATTGTTCAGCAGCAAAGCCATGTTGGGGACCCTCTCCATGCTCTGGGCAACGGTTTCACTGTTGCTGACTCCTTTGCTTGCGTATTGTCTGTGGATTTGCTGTTCTCAGATGGAGTACAGTGGTTAGCTGCTTGAGGCACAACAAGTACAAAATACCTGCTTGTTTGACTTACGCTTTAGCAATTGTTAAACAAGGTCTCCTTTATGTAAGACACCATATCACAAGAGAGAGCGCTCTTGGGACATGCAAGGGTAAATTGGATTAGCTGAGTAGAAAAGGTGCTGATACTGACATAATTTTTTATTCTTAACCTAATCCTTTGTTCAGTACTTAAAGTTTTCATTTTGAAACTGCTTCATGCCACATGAACAAGAACATTGCCTCTCCTAGAGCAGGTCTGTCCATCCATCTCTGAGGTGGTGGCGTGTTCAGTTACAGGAGGAGCTCGTGACTTCAGCTGTTTGGTACCACCTGAGCAGGCAGCTGGTGGAGAGCCCTCCCCAAGTGTGTCTCTGGCAGAAGGGAACAAGAACAACACATGTAAAGAACAGAGGCAGACAGAAAGGATGAGGCTCTCGCCATGCTCCAAGATCCCTGTCTTGCTTAGTAAGGCAGGGCTTTCTCACGGACTGAAAGCTTACCTGAGCAATCCAGATAGAGTTGTGACATTCTGATTATCCTCTTGCCTCCACAATGTCAAATACACCTGTCTGCACTCCCAGATCTGGGTGGGCTAGCATACAGAGAGCTATCAAGTCCAGTGCCCAGACACTGGCACTGTGCTCAGGATCACTGTTGGACTCAGGATGCTTTACAAGCTGACATGCAACATGGACATCATAGTGACTTTTAAATAAACACATCACAATAAGTTGCACAGAGCTCAGATCGTGCAGGTGAGGAAGCAAAGCCCCAGCAACACTTCACAGACCGTTGGCACATCAGGGCTGCAGTCCTGAATTAGCGGGAGAGGAGCACTGCATTCTTCTGTCCTCCACATGAGTGGGGAGGAGACAGAGATTGTGGAGCAGAACCCTCCACGCCTTTATTCAGAGGCCACGATGGCTAGGTAGGACCTCAGAGAGAAAGGACAATTTTCTGAGGACCATGAAATAAGGTTGTGGATACTTCTGGAGAGCGCGTTTCCCACTAGACTGCTTCTACAGCATTCCAGAAATAGTTCTTCTTTGAGGTAGCCCTAAATAAATTTAATGCTCACTTAAAGCTCAAATTGCTATTTGCAACAAGAGTTTCAGTTTTCTGGTAAAGACTCACTTTTTCACCAATACATACAGAGGGAGGACTAGTTTCTGATATGGTGACTGAGCATCACCTACAGTCTCATTTACCCTGGGGTTGAGATTACAAGATAATTGATTTTTGCACAAATGTCACATTTCAGACTCCAAGTGTTAAAATAAATTTCCTATAACAGGACAGTAAACTACAAACTGACTTAGTGGTAGACAGACGGAAGAGCATGTAGCTGTTTGTGAAAGACTCCAGGTACCATTCAGGATGAGTAACAGCATGCCAAATCCTGGTAGAATCCAAAATTCAGGAAGTGGTTTCTATAGAGTAGGTAATCATCTTCCTAAGAATGTCACAAATCAACAAATCCAAAGCTTTAGGATAGGTAAAGGGCAAGAAGCACTTACAGTTCCCTAGCCTTGCAGATCAACCACTTCCATAGCACATGTCGCAAAAAAGACTGTACAGAGCAGTTTGTAGAAGGACTTAAACACAGTGGATATGTGGCAGGAGTCAAAAGAGCAGCTACACCAACTAGGATGGAGCAAAACATGATCACTGTGGGGGACAGGAGCAGCGTGTCCACCGCACACTGCTGGTTGGCTGGCTGACTGTCACTGTACTGCCACCAACTACCTACCTGCTCCACGCAGGTGGGGACAGGGAAAAGAGGATGCAGAGTGGTTGATTTTTTTAAAAAAATTATTTAATTCCAGGTAGGATATGCCAGTTCAGGCTGGCCTTAAATATGAGACCCCTGACAGACTCTACAGGAAAAGAGTGAGTGTGCGCAGAGTCAGCCTCACTCAAATGGGCCCTTGCTGGTCTGAGCTACGCTGCCATCCCCACCAGTGCAGAGGACAGACAGTTTTCTGCACAGGAGGCAAGGCTGAGCAGGCTAAGATGGCACATAACTATCTCCAAATCAGCTTGTTGTACTGCCTGTGATCGTTACTTGTGATTTACACATCAGAGCAGAGAAAGTCATTGAAGGATCTTCTTGCACAAGCACTGCAATCTTTCATCAAAGCTTAGGATCATGCCCTGATTCATATGTCCCTCTTGACTGCAGAGCATATGATTTCATACATGGGCCATCCAGGGGCAGCTTCTTCACCACATTGACCACACTACAAAACCAAAGAACAATCTTCACATTCTTGATCAAAAGATCTTTTAACCCTTTTGACACCAACAGAGGTAGCATAGCAGGTAAGGCATGATTTTGTTACACATACTGCAGTTTGGCTTAAGTAGCTTTAATAGGTGGGAAGACATGGTAAGGATAAGGAAACAAACTTTCTCTCCCGATTGATTCCTTAACTTTGGAAAGGAGCCTATGTTTAACACATTGCAGCAAGAGCCTGATGGAAGGTGCTGGAGGATTTACCCTGAGCTGTTAGGCTTACATTCAGCTAATATAAAGTTTATGCCCACGTAAGTGGTGAAACAGTGAAAGAGAGTGCCCAGAGAGATTCAAATATTCAAAGTTGAATAGGCCTCTGAGAAACTTGATTTAATTGAAAATGTACCTGTTCTTTTCAGAGTTGAGTCGGGATGATCTCTAAAGGTCCCTTCTAACCCAAACCATTCTATGATAATCCCTATCTGTTCCAAATGAGGTATTATTTAAATTTTCTGGCACTTCAAATGAAGAGATTTTTTTAAAAAAGGGCAACAGCAAGTAATGCAACACAATAAATAGCATAGCTGTTCAAAAGCCAAAGCTTTGAGCACATAAGCACACACATTTTTGCATAGATTGAGGCTTCATAGAGATCAGCCTGCAGAAGATTTGCTAGTTTGGGTAAAACCCAGGAAGTGGACATTACTTGCTCCAAGGAGAGGGAAGAGCTGCAGTGCAAGTGTCAGAGGCAGAGAGCTTCTGTCAGGGATGTAAGCAGGAAAACACAGTGACTCCGTGAAGACTGAGACTTGTGCAGATTTATTGATTTGCCTTCACTCCTCTCTTTCCCAAGTTTAGCTGTAACACCTTCTCCCAGCAACCATGATACAGGTGCATTTCTTTGGAGATGTAACAGAAAACAGGGATAAAACCCAGCAATCAGAGCTGTGGGAAACCCCATCCCGATGCAGTGCTGGGTAATTGTGAGCCTGCCTGGAGCACCCTCTGGCACCAGTCATCACAGCCTGTGACATCATGGCCTCCAGAAAAGGGGCCCTCTGATCTTTGGTCATTAGAGGGGAGCAAAAATGAAAAGAACTGCAGGGAGACACCACCTGCTGAGCAGAGCCCTTCACTTCCCAAAAGCAAGAGCAGGCAGAAGATTTGCTGTGCTCCTTCCTGACTCTCTGGAGCTATTAGCTGTCCTCCCTTGGGGAAGCAGGGCCCTCAGACCCAAGGGGAAGAGAGGATCCCCTGCTCCTTGCAAGGAGTCCATCTATCTTCCTTCTGCTTCTCCAGCCTCAGGTCAGCTGCATTGCCTTGCAAGAATCACCCGAACAGGCTGATACAAAGAGTTCAAAGTTTAACCTCTGCACACTACTAGAGGTAATAGTCCTTCCTTGCACCTCCCTGCCTGATGTTTGACTAGCAGTCATTAAGCAAAACCTCTTCTTTGTACCCTGGCAAGATACAGCCATAAGCAGCAGCCCTCATACCTGTATCAGACCTTCAGTGTTTGGGCATGGTGCTTCTGAAGGATGTGTGTGATGATCAAGCAAGTTGGTCATTTAAGAATAATTTTGCATAGAGCTAGACAGAGTATTGTCCCTTCATGCACACACACATACTTTAAAAGATGGCTTCTGGGTAACACACTGGATGTGTCTGCTTGCCCTCTGCCAGGCATGACTGTTTTTCAAAAAGGAAAAAAACAAAGCAGACCCACTGAATTGAAAGATGAGAGCTCTCAGAAGGGACTACTTGGAGTCCTTACTATTGCTCCAAGTTATTTTTTGCCCTCTGACCTAGTTGCTCTTACCACTGTGAAACATCTCCAAAGGGAAAACTACATAAGAGTTAGCTAATATCCTAAGGCTTAAACAAAATGATGGTGACATCAGGAGCTATTAACCCAAAGATGTCATAATCTGCAATCACCCTCCAAATAAAGGCTATCATGGCTCTAATCACATATGAAACACCAATGATGAAAATCACCCCTAAGGACCTCTCTTGTTGGTAGCATGTACTATTTACAATCCCTTTTGTTCTCTAAAGCCTGTAAGTAGGCCCACTGCTTTTGAAACAGCAATTAAAACAAGTACATTAGGTGAGCAGCTGGGCTTTTGCCTAAAATTGCTGGGTCTTCAAACTTCATTCTGAAAAGAATGGTTGAATACACATGCAGAATCCAGAGAACACGAGATTAGGAGAAAATTTGTCAATTTAATTCATCACTGTCTGTTTTCACAGTTAAAAATTTAGTGGCTCAGACTAGTCTAACTAACAAGTTCTTGAACAAATGTGTGTACAAAAATCCAATTGAAGGACTTCTGATTAAGATCAAAGGTATCCTTTGATCAACCAGATCAGCTATGCCTTTAACAAAGAAGCCTCAAAACTCAGGCTGAGGTTGAGAACCTCTACAGGCACTCATGCATGCACCTATTTGTGTTTTCTGAACTGTTCATTGAAGAGAGACTTTGTACAAACCAACATTCAGTATTTCTCAGCCAGAACAGGTCCAGTGCTTTAAACAAGAGTAAAATAAACCATAGCACAATAACACCATTATTGCATTAACAAAATTGCTATTTTGAACTGTTGCCTACGTCGGTGATGGTGTGTAAGAGCTCTCCACCCTGCATTCTCAAAGGTAGAAAGCGCTTTCTCCATCGCTCGGCCAAGCAGAATCGCCCCAGGGTCAGTCTCAGCCATACTTTGCCAATGGCTCTGTGTTGGCCCCTTTCCACTTAGTCATTCTCCTGCTCCAGACCCCAAGTAAGTCATCTGCTCTCAGGGTTGGTAGAAGTTACACCAACACCAGACACACACAAAACACCGCCTCTTTCCTCTGGTTGAAGTCTATCAAGGCTGCAGAGTCTAGGTCTATCTGCCAATCCCAGGCAAAGCTGAGAGCACAAAACTGAAGTTCATCACTTTGCTTTGTAAAAATCCCCTGGCTACAGAACTGGGACTAAAATGCTATTCCTGTAATCCCAGAAGAAGTGCTTGTTTCTGCCTTTTAACTAAACTAATCAGCATTCATTCTACTTTAGTCTGTCTTGAGACTGTTTTGATCCTCAGTAAAGTTTTGCTTCCCACCCCAAGTTACTTGCCCTTTTTTTCAGCTTTTTGGAGAACCCCTTGGAGAACTCCAAAGAACATCTTTGCAAGTCCTGCTAATGAGACCCCACACTCCTTTACCCAGCTCTGAACTGATACAGTCAGAGGATTCTTTGGTTGGCAAGATATCACCTGCAAGGAGGACAGTCTTCAAGTCTTTGTTCAACATTTGGGGTTTTTTTTAAACCCATCTGGTAAAGGATTTCTGTAAAGAAACTTCCCTGATCAGTTCCAATCTCTTCTTACAATATAGGTGCTCACTTCATTTGCTACTGGGCAGTCCTGACTAAAGGTGAACGGGATAGGATTCAAACACACAACTCTGAAAGGTGTCCCCGTGCTGCCCAAAAGGCCTGCAGTTGTTTCTTCAGCTCCCCACCACTTCCTAAACCAAACAGGCAGGGGAAGGATGGGCCATTTGACTCAGAGGAGATAAGGCTGAATGAGAAGACAGTTTTGCATCCAAAGCTGGGGCCTAAGGGAACACACACAGATCTGGAGGTAGGGGTATTATGAAAACATGTTTCTTCTGAAACAAAAACATGGCCCAGAGGGCCACCTCAGATAGACCTGGGACAAGAATGGAGAGGGTTTTTTATAGTTAGACAGCTGCGGGCAGGGGCAAAGGACACAGCTCATGTATGGCTTGAAGGGCTCCCTTCCCCACCTGCTCCAGCCCTATGCTACTTGTAACTTCCCACCCCAGCCATGTGCTTACAATTAATTATTCCAGACTTCCTCCAAGGTGCCTCTAGGCCTGATCCTAATTCCACTATTTTTAACTATATGTATTTACTCACATCTTAGTTCATTTGTCTCCTGCCAAAACATGTCTTTAGTATCATCTCTCACTCTGTTGGTCCAGGGGGCAAGTGCATGAGAGAGCAAAGCAATTAATTTTTAAACTCATCTTTTACCAGTCTCCTGTTCTTGCAAAGGCCTCAGCTTCTCCCCAGTTCAGTTTTAATGAAAATTAATCATTCAACTCTCCTTCCCAGTTAGTTTAGCTTTTAAAAAGACTGGCCTTAATAGCAGCCCATGGAGATCATTGGTAGATTCAGGGCACAGCCATTATTACTTCTCTGCCTAGAGCCCAAAATGCAGCATTACCACTGTCTCAACTGATAGATCACCTTACCCAAAGCTTTGCAGGAAGGGCACTGAAGTTCAACTCCAGCCAAAGCCTCTGTTGAAATCTGTCAGCATTATAACACTGAGTTTGCCACTTGTAGAACATTTAATGTTCTTCTTTTTTTTTCCCAGCAAGATACACAGGTTAATCTGTGTTGCTTTCAAGAATGCTTTGGATATTATGCTTCTTTTTATTAACATACTTTTCTAAGAGCAGACATTAGATATGTGGGGCTGCCACTATTCTTGTGAACACTACCATTCTGTTTTCAATAACTCCTCAAACCTTCTTTGTTATCTTGGATTTCATAAAAACAACTTCATTTGAACTGATAAATGGTTCTATGTGTAACTATGAGCGCACTTATCACTTCACAATCAAGCAGGGTCCCCCTGTTTTTCCAGGATTGCCAATAACAGAAGAAAACTCAACTCTGCACAGCTCTTTACTAAAATAGCTGAGTTTTGCATCAGTACATGGTTTGATCTTGGAAGAGCTTACCTTACAGAAACACTTAAAACTGAATTCAAAGGAGTCAGGAATTATGTTAGTCAACAGCATCAGTACCATAGCACTAGCAGAAATTTATTGAGCAATAACTCAAAAGTTTTCCTTAAGAAGATTGCTACACACCCATTCTTGCTACAGACAACACAGAGGGTATGTGTAAGAAGCTGAAAAGTAACTGGCCACAGCTGCATCCCATCCAGAGTCTTTTATAGCAGCAGGTAGAGCTGTCCTGCTGGGAGTAAACAGGTTCAGCTGGAAAGGGAGAAACATCTTAGCAGCAGTCCCTGAGAAAGGGGGAAGAAAGAAGCTGAGGGAGGAAGGAGGAGCTTTCTGAACCCCAACAGATCCGTCAGCTATTTGGAGTGATTGGCTGCCCTCAGCTGTCCTGAAAGGCATGGTGCTCAGCTTCTCACTGGTATGTAATGTTTCCTCAGTGTTTGCAAGGCTTTGGGGAGCCCTTCCTAAAGCACGGCTTGAGAAGGACCGTGGGCCTTTCTGTTTTTTGAGATCATGCCTTGCCTAAGTACTTGGGAGGACATCTGCTTTTCATGCACTGCCTTCAGGACTCGCTTCCTTTTATCTCCAGGTGAGCAGAGGTTTCTATAAGTGCCAGGGCCTTTCACAAGCTTCCCCATCCTGCAGTTTGGCTGGCTCTGACAGGGAAGTGCTGCCCCACTGACCTTGCCATCACATTGGGCTCTCTGAGCCTTGCAGAGCAGCTGGTCCTTCCCACATCCTGACAAGGAGTTGCCCGTTTACATACCACCCTGCACCCCTAGGATGATGCACATTGTGACCTATAATTTATGGTCGACCCTTCTCTCTGAAAGGGATCAAATCTGATTTACAAGCCCCAAAGTATCATTGCATCCACTAAAGCCTGCCAAAAATTCATCATATCACTGTCCAAAGTTTTGCCCTATTTGCAGGTGAAATTTCTTTCACTTCCATTACCAGGAGAGGGCAGAGACCACCTGAGGAGTTGCTGCTGCAGGGTGACCAATCAGACTTCTGCCATAAGCCACCCACAGAGGAGACCCCAACACCACCGTGCCTGGTGCTGCTTTGCATCTCCCCTCCCTGCCCAACACCACTGCCTAGGTGGGACAGTGAGAGTGCTCCTGTTGGGTACCACTGGTGGCTTGTGTCACAGTGTTCCTTATGCACATTTCTGAGAGCTTGTGCCAAGCTTAGCAGCTGGCTTTTCTCTGCCAGGAATGAGGAATAGTGATGTGCATACTGATGCTGGGGAGAGCAGTGCTATATTTTGGAATATCCTTTCCTATGTGTTGCCCCTTAGGCTGACACCACAGGAGCATGAAGGCAGCATCACTAAAGATGACTTGTAACTCCAGTGACCCAGAAGACTCCAGCCTCTGAAACATGTCTGGTGAGTCAGGTAATCCCCAGGGCTGAAATACAGCTCATCCCTCCAAGGAAACCTCCCTCCTGAAATAAATCAGGGTTGGAACCTTGGCACCCGTCTGATAATTCCCTGCTCCTGGGAACAGGAGTAGTTATTGGTGATATTCTCTGCTGTACAGCTCCATCTGCTGTGACACAGGTCCAAGGAGGTCCTGGGGGTGTCGAGGGGACCCGTTCTAACAGTGGTCTCAGTGGCAAATGGCCACTGCTGGAGACCAGGCACTCACAGAGTTTGGGCTCCTTGCCTTCCTCTGTGGGAAATATTTGTAATGTGGAAGCATCAAAGGAAAGTATTGCCCATGATCTCCAGAGTGTCAGAGAGGTGCATGGGGGCCATGAGGGAGATGTCCATGGGCAGAGCCTGCCTGTCGGGGGCGAGTGGCTGGGGCTGAGCCATGCACAGCCCCCTACATCAGCCAAAGGGAAGGGATTTCCTGGCACAGAGGTGCGCTTTCCTCATTGTCATTGAACGGTGGGGTGAGTCAAAATCATCGTCTCCTCTAGGCTTTCCTCTCCCAGATGGAGTGATCTCACATTTGCCTGCAGAGGGAGACGGCTCCTCTTTATTAGCCAAATTTTGTTGACACAGTTTGGTGCTGCCACCTTACCAGGCTGGAAAAACCAGCCGCGGAATTGACGTGGCCCTCCTGCAGCCCACGGCCAGGCACTCCCGCGGAGCGGGGAGGGGTATGCGGGGACCCTCCCAAAGCCAAGCAGCGGGGATGAGCAGCAGTGGTTTATGAGCTAGTTGCAAAGTCCTCAGGGGAGCAGCCTCTGAGGCAGTGCCAGGCTCCACTGTGTGTTCCAGCAATGGTGCAGCCACTGGCGCTGGGCTAAGGAGGGGGGTCATAACAGCAGCCGTGCGACCATGTGGCTTCATCCCTTCCCTATCCCCGGCAAGGGGCTGCTCCCAGCAGAGGAGCTGCCCCCAGCCCAGGGTTTGGGCAGAGCTGGACAGCCACTACCTGGAAAACACACTCATTTGCAAACCCGCGGTGTTTCTAGCGCCGGAACGGCTCCCGATCTCAGGGCCTGCCGTTCCTCACGCACAGAGCAGGTTTATGAGGCGCTGTGGGGCCGGGTGAACCTGAAAAGCTGGCTCATGCGTGCCCTCAACACCTCCCGACCGCAGAACCGCTCGGGGCCCTCGCAGCGAGATCTGCGCACAGCACCGAGATTGCTGGCACTGCTGCATCCTGCTCAGGCTCTCCGTGCCTTGCCGAGAGCAAGACGGGGGGCAGAAGGCAGTTTTGCACTGTGCGGGACTCAGCTGGGGTTGCAGCTCCTGTGTGAGGCTTCTTCAGCCTTCTGAAAAGTATTGACTCATGTTCTACTTTTCCTTTGCGGGGAAAGAAATAAAAAAAATAAGGTTTGCTCCCTGCTTGCTGCCTCGTAAACCACAGTTTTAATTTCCTAAGTTGCGCCACAGCCCTACTTGCCCGCCTCAGTACCTGTGACAGGGGAGAGCACTCAGTAACTGAGAGGCACTGTGCCCAGAGATCGGGCACCAAGATGAAGGCAGAGCTGCCAGAGGGATAAAGCTCACCTACATCCCTTCCCCCACCAAGGCTTTTTATGTGTGTGACAGGCTACTCATTATTCCTAATTTAACTTAATAACTAGCTTAATGCCTTGTTATACTTTCCTTCTGTGTTCAATACTGAAGGAATAACAAGGAGAAAAGTAAAGAGACAAAGCTATGTGTTTAATAGGAGAAGATTTACAGAGGACAGGAATAAAGCTGGAAAAGCTAGAGAAGCCCTCATCTCTAATGAGTATATTCAATACTTCCATGAAACCACTTCATAATTTGAAGAATGGCTCCTGACAGTTTCCAAGCCTGTACACAGCTTTTCATGGGGAAGACTCTGCACTTCAGGAGTGTTTTTTGAATGTCCTCTTCTTACTCACAGGGTCCTTGGGCAGGTTGGTGCTTTACTCCATTAGAAGTAGTTCTCACCAAATTGTTGAATAAGTTTTTAATATACTACATGTATTTTGACTGCCTGGCTAGGCATGCCTCCTAACTCTGCAATACCTGTGGAAATGATAGTCATGAGAAGTTCAAGGAGTTAAGGGTATATCTGATAGAAGATGACATGCCAGTGCTGCACGTGGTGCTGGCTTAAACTTCCTTTTGGAATTG